TGCAACACGTCGACCGTCGCCTGCAACGCGGAGTTCGGCAGCCGGATCCGCGAGCGGGTCACGACGATGATGTAGAGATCAGAACGATGATCGCGACTTTCAGCAGCATACGTTTTCCGTCGAATTTAGAAATCCGGTAAAAATTAGGATAAATTGGCGTATTTTTCCGCAAAAAAAAATGCAACCGATCTATGAAACCACTCCTTTACCCGCTATCATGTTGAGAATGGCGCCCGGATGGCCGAATTCGCCGGCTACCGCATGCCGATCGAATTCACCGGAATCAACGACGAACAGCGGCCGTGCGTGAACGGGCCGGCGTTTTCGTGTGAGCCATATGGGGGAGATCTGGGTCAAAGGGCCCCGTGCCGCGGAATTCCTGCAATACGTTACGACGAACGACATCCGCGCGCTGCGTGACGGGAAGGGTACAGTATTCCTGTCTGCCTACGGTCGCGGGGGAATCGTGGACGACATTCTGATTTACCGGATCGACGCCGGGACATTTCTGGTTGGTGTCAACGCGTCGAACGTCGGCAAAGACTGGTCGCACCTGGTCGCACAGGGCGAAAAATTCGAATGCGGCCCGGGAGGGAGCTTTACGACGCTTCGGACGAGATCGCGCAGCTTGCCGTGCAGGGGCCGCTGGCGATGCGGATCGTGCAGCTTGTGTCCGGAACGGGTCGAGAATCTCGAATATTATACGTCGTAAAGACCGAGGTGGCCGGCATCGGGAATGCGATTCTTTTCCGCGACGGTCTATACCGGCGCCGGAGGGTGTGAAATTTATGTGGCGCGAAGGACGCTCCCCGTTGTGGGATGCTTTGTGGCGTGCGGGCGCGGAGTACGGTTTGCAGAATATCGGTCTCGGTGCCGCGATACCCTGCGCCTGGAGATGGGTTTCTGCCTTTACTGGAACGACATCGACGATACTACTTCGCCGGTCGAGGCCGGTCTCGGCTGGATTACGAAGCGTCGACGGCAACGACTTCATCGACCGGCCGCTGTTCGAAGTCCAGAAAAAGAGAGGACGGACGGCGTCTGGTCGGTTTCGAACTGACCGAACGGGGAATTCCCCGGCACGGTTACGCGCTTGCGGCTCCGGACGGGCGGACGATCGGGGCGGTGACTTCCGGAACGATGTCGCCGACGCTGAAAAAGGGATCGGCATGGGGTACGTGCAGAGCGCTTTTGCCGCTCCGGGTACGGATATCGACGTGGTGATCCGCAATAAGCCCGTTCGGGCCCGGGTCGTGAAGATGCCTTTCTTGAAACGACGGGAGCGGAGTAGTGCGGATATCAAGACGAAAGGAGGCGGTTTGCGAACCGCCTCCTTTCGTTTTTGTTATGAAATCGTCTTTCTCTCGGCCGTCGCCGGTTATTTTGCATCCGCTTCGCCGAGCAGCGTTTCGATTCGCGGCGCCAGGTCGCGGAAGTCGGGAATGGCGGCCAGTTCGTCGAGAGAGACCCAGCGGAAAGCGTCGGATTCGTTCCGGTCGATCATCACCCGGTCGTCGTCGCCGTCGAACAGGAAGACGAACCGCATGTCGTGGTGCGTGTGTTCCGCTTCGTTTTTCGCAGCGCAAGCGGGGATGTAGTGCGAGTCCATGTCCAGCGGCAGCGCCGTTTCGCCCGGAAACGTCAGCGGCGTCAGTTGTTCGCTGCGGATGCCCGTCTCTTCGCAATCTCGCGGTAGGCGGCGTCCAGCACCGAGTCGTCCGCCGCTTCGACGTGTCCCGCCGGGTTGCAACCATTTGCCGAGTTGGCGGTGTTTGAGCAGCAGTACCCGGTGGCTCGCCCGACTGACGATCACGCCGCCGGCGGTGATATGGCCGGCTAAGTTTTTTGCGGTCGTACAGCGATTCCCCGTCGAACCGGGCGACGAATTCCGTGAACGGCCCGGTTTCGGCTTTTTCTCGGGAAAATGCCTGAAATAGCGTTTTTGTAAACGCCGGATGTCTTTGCGCAGATCCATTCGGGAAGGTTTATTTTGTCCAGTTTATTTTGGCCGTCTTGACGTCGCGGGAGTTCGGACCGATGCAGACGTTGAACTCTCCGGGTTCCCAGACGTGCTCCAGTTCGCTGTTGTAGAATTTCAAGTCGGCAGTTGTGATGCGGAACGTTACGCCCTGCGTTTCGCCGGGTTTCAGCGTGATCCGGCGAAGTTTTTCAGTTCCCTGACCGGTCGCGAGATGCTGGCCACCGGATCGCCGATGTAGAGCTGGACGATTTCGTCGCCTGTGCGGGTGCCGGTGTTGGTTACTTTGACCGTGCGTTTATCGTCCCGCTGCCGCCCGAAGCGACCGCCCGGTCTAGCTGGATGTCGCTGTAATCGAACGTCGTGTAGCTCAGCCCGTATCCGAACGGATAGACCGGATCGTTCGTAATGTCGAGGTATTTGGTCGTCGCCCAGAAGTCGGCGCGGTACGGCCGTCCGGTATTCAGCGAGTTGTAGTACAGCGGGAGTTGGCCTACGCTCTGCGGGAAGGTCGCGGTCAGTTTGCCCGACGGTACGCGGTCGCCGAACAGTACGTCGGCCAGCGCGTAGCCGGCCATCGTTCCGCCGTGCCAGGCTTCGAGAATCGCGTCGAACCGGTCGTTCTCCCACGACAGGGTCAGCGGGCGTCCGCTCATGATCGCCACGACGACCGGTTTACCTGTATCGTGCAGCGCTTTGAGCAACGCTTTCTGGCATTCCGGAAGTCCGATGTCCGAGCGCGAGCGCGCTTCGCCCGACCAGCCGCTCGTTCGCCGACCGTGGCGACGATCACGTCGGCGTCTTGGCCGTTTCGAGCGCCTGTTCGATCAACGTTTCGGTCGGCGTCGTGTTTTTCCGGTCTGAGCCAGCAGCATCGGTTCCTCGGTCAGGTTCGATCCCTGTGCATAGACCACTTCGGCCCGTCGCCGACGACCTCTTTGACGGCTTCGAAAATGCTGCGTGCCGGGGCTTCTTCGCGCAGCATGACCCAGGTGCCGAACAGTTCGCGCGCGTGTTGCCCATCGGGCCGATCACGGCGATCTTGCCGGTTTTTTGCAGCGGCAGGATTTGCCGGTCGTTTTTCAGCAGCACGATCGACTCTCCGGCCAGTTCGCGCGCCGTTTGCAAATATTCGGCGACAGGGCCTTTTTCTGGCGTTCGGGATCGGTGTACTGGTACGGGTTGTCGAACAGTCCCAGTTTGTATTTGGCTTCGAGGATGCGGCGGCACGCCTGGTCGATCTCCTGCCGGGTTACCTTCCCTTCGTCGAGCGATTTTTTCAGCGTCCAGATAAAAGCGTTCGCGCCCATGTCCATGTCGAGCCCGGCTTTCAGCGCCAGCGCCGCGACCTGCTGTAGGTCTCCCATGCCGTGGGCGGTCATTTCGCCGACCGATCCGGCGTCCGAAACCACGAACCCGTCGAATTTCCATTGGTCGCGCAATACGTCGGTCAGCAGCCAGCGGTTGCCGGTCGCCGGAATTCCGTCTACGACGTTGAACGACGACATGAAGCTGCCTGCGCCGGCTTCGGCTGCCGCCTTGTACGGCGGCAGGTAATAATTGTACATTGCTACGCGGCTCATGTCCACCGTGTTATAATCCCGTCCGGCTTCCGATGCGCCGTACAGCGCGTAGTGCTTGACGCAGGCCATCACGGTGTTCGGGCGCCGACAGGTCGTCGCCCTGTATCCTTTTACCATCGCCTTGGCTATTTCCGACCCCCACCACGGATCTTCGCCGGAACCTTCGGCGATTCGGCCCCAACGGGCGTCGCGGGCGATATCGACCATCGGCGAGTAGAACCAGTTGATGCCGAAAGCCGAAGCCTCTTCGGCAGCGATCCGAGCGCTTTTCGGATCAGTTCCGGATTCCAACTGCACGAGATGGCCAGCGGGATCGGAAATACGGTTTTATAGCCGTGGATCACGTCGAGACCGATCAGCAGCGGAATGCCGAGCCGCGACTCCTTGACGGCGATCTCCTGCGCTTTTTGCGTCGCGGCGGGGTCCATGCCGCCGGTTTGCGCTGAGATATCCTTTGCGGATCGCTTCGTCCTGGCCTACGGCGGCGCCTACGACGCCCGGAACGCCCCCGGAAGCGAGGTTCAACTGCCCCAGTTTTTCGTCGAGGGTCATTTTGCTCATCAGGTCGTCGATGAATGCGTCCATTTTCGGGTCGCGTTGTCCGTATGCCAGCGAAGCGCACAGCAAGGTAAGCGACAGTAACAATTTTTTCATGGTCGGGTTTATGCGTGTTGGTTTAGGTTTGTCATGATCGGCGAACGACGACAACCTGCAGCAGGAATGTCGTCGTTCGCAGTATGTGGCGAAACGCCGAACTATTGATTCAGCGTCCGTTCGATATAACTTTGTAATCTTTCACCACCGGGCAGTAGTTGCTGCCGAACAGCGGCGACGAGATCAGGAAATCGGCCGTCGAACGGTTGATCGCCGTGGGCACGTTGTACAGCGTCGCCAGACGCAGCAGCGCTTTTACGTCCACGTCGTGGGGCTGGGCCTGCATCGGATCCCAGAAGAAGATCACCGCTTCGACCTTGCCTTCGGCAATCATCGCGCCCAACTGCTGATCGCCGCCCAGCGACCCGATTTCAGCAGTACGATATCGACCGCTTCCTCATCGAACTCTTTGCCGCGCCGGTCGCGCAACGTCCGTTCGACCATTTTCCCGGTCGTTCCGGTGCAGATCAGATGATGTTTCAGCAAAACCTCCCAGTTCCAGTCCACCCATTCGCCAGGTCGCGCTTCATGTTGTCATGAGCGACCAGGGCCACGCTCTTTCTGTTTTCCATAACCATATAATAATACATTACGGCGCAAAGGTACTAAAAGTTCGGCCGAAACGGAACGTTCCCGGGTCTAAAATTCCGGAAGATTACCTGAAATATTGCTGCGGCATACGAAATGCGGATTGTGCAGCGAGATCTTTTGTATTGCAATCCCGCGCCCCCGTCGAACGGTTCGACGACCCCGCCCGCTTCGCTGAGAATGATCTCTCCGGCGGCCGTATCCCATTCGTAGGTGTTCGACGTGCGGACGTAAATTTCGACGGTACCTTCGGCCAGCAGCAGAATTTGAACGAACTGCCCGCTCGACGATCTCGGCCGCCGGATGACCCGCTTGATCCGGGCGATGTGTTCGAACGTTTCGTCGGTATTGTGCGAACGGCTTACGGCGATGCGGATCGGTTCGTTGGCTTTGTCGCACAGCGGCAGCCGGGTCGTATCGCTCCAGATTTGCGGCAGGTCGAACAACGCTTCGTGGTCGGGCTCTACGTCGGTTTTCAGGTAGCATCCGGCTCCTTTCAGCGCGAAGTAAATTTTATGGATATACGGAACGTAGATCACCCCGATGTACGGTTCGTTGTTGTGCATCAGCGCGATGTTGACGGTGAATTCTCCGTTGCCTTTCAGAAATTCCTTGGTGCCGTCCAGCGGGTCGACCATCCAAAACAGATCCCAGTTGCGCCGCTCTTCGTACAGCAGGTCGCGCCCCTCTTCGCTCAATAGCGGGACGCGGGTCTGGCTCAGGTATTTCTTGATCAGTTCGTGCGCATCCCGGTCGGCTATCGTGATCGGGGTGTGGTCGCTTTTGATATCCACGGCGAAATCGGCGTCCCCGGTATAGATGTCGATGATGCGCGCCCCGGCGCGGATCGCGGCATTATAGGCATTTACCAGCAGGAAGTCGGTTTGTTCTTTGTTCAGCATGGCTGTTCGGTTTTATGGCGTTCGGTTTCAGATTAGGTTCGCATATTATTTGGAGGATTCGAAGATCGGAATTTCTCCGTCGGCGACGGTTACGGTGGTTACCAGCGGCCCTTTGAAGCGTTCCCCTTTGCGCTGATCCACACTCCGCGCGGGAATCGTACCGTCCGGCTGTCGGACTCGCCGAGCAGCGGGGCCACGAGGTATTCGACCCGATCATGAACTGGTCGTTGCAGTCGGTGAATCCGTTACGCGGAAATTCGTATTCCATGTGGCGTACGATGGGTTCGGCCGTGCGGGCGCTCTCCTGAATCAACTGTCGGTAATATTCGCCGATTCTCTCGCGGGCGGTAAACGCCGCCTTGCACTGCGCGGCGACCGCCGGATCGGTGATCCGCCACGGGGCGATGTCGAGCGCGGCGACCGGCAATACCGACGAGAGCTGCACGTAACGCAGCAGCACTTTCGGGTCCCGTGCGACGGAGTCCGACGTCAGGGCCGATCGGCGCTCACCGTGCTGTACGGGTATCCAGCAGGTTGGCCGTAAGGATATTGGATACCATCTCCTGTAGAGCCCCCATTCCAGCGGACGTTTCGTTTGTAAATCGTGGATATAGGGCGCGAAGCCGTCGCCCCGGCTGATCGTATATTGGCTGGAGTGGAAATCGTTGCCCAGTTCGCTCCATTTTTCAGAATTCGGCGGCCCGGCATTTGCGAAGCGCGCGTAAGGCAGCGCTCCGTCGCAGTCGAACAGGAAGCCGTCGACCCTGAGGCTGTCGTGCAGCACGCCCAATTGCCGGCGAAGCATTTCGTACACGGTCTCCCGCGTGATGTCGTAAAAGCGCTGTATCCGCCGATCCATTCGGCCATTGCCGTGCGTCCGTCGGACAGTTTGACGAATGCTCCGCTGTTGCGGAAAGCGCGGTAAATAGGCCCGTCTCCGCTGACGAATGGCGTGACGGTCAGCATGAGCCGGAATCCTTTGTCGTGCAATTCGCGGATGAGGGCTGCAAAATCGCCGTACATTTCGAGGTTCGGCGTGAAACTGCCGATCGTCGATTGCCACCCGCCGGGAACGACCAGCGTTCCGGCCGGATAGCCTGCGGCGAGAATGTTCTGTGCATACTGCCGGATGTCGTCGGCCGTAGCCGAGAACGGAATTTCCGCGCTCATGTCGTACACCGGGGCCGTGAAGAACTCCGCCGCCGGAGTCGGCGCGTTTTCTGCCGGAGGAAAATTCTTATGGCAGCAGACCAGGTAGGCTTCCCGCAGGGTTTTACCCCCGGTGACGGCTTCGACCTCTTCGATCGGCGATTCGATCCGGAATTCGGTTCCGGTATATTCGATCTTAAAGGGCGATTTGCTCCAGATGTAGCGTCCCGGCTCGAAATCAGCAGCGGAGCGACGTTGCTTTTCACCCAGGTGGAAAGGTCCGTTTGCGGAAAAGGCTCGCTGAGCGGCATCGCCTGTTCGCCCCCGACGAATACACCCCACCACTGTTCTCCCTTCAATACGTCGATTTTCGTACTGTACTGCGCGGCCAGCGATTCGCAAAGCAACGCGGCCGCCAGTACCAGTCCTGCTATTTTTTGTACATATCCGTTTTGTTAATATTCCACTTTTTTCAGCAGGGAATTGAACCACATCAGTTTGTCCCCGAACAAATCCCGGGCCGTTGCGGCATACTCCTCGAACAGTTCCCCGACCAGTCGCTTGTACCGGGCATGTCGCCGACGTCCACCTGCAGCGAATAGGTGAAATGCTCCTCGGCGGTCGCCGGCAATACGCGGGTAAAAGTGATTTTATCGAATCCCTGTGCCGCGAGCAGCGGGAGGTAGTGTTTGCGCAAAGATTCCAGCCAGCGGTCGTGGATCGCCGGATCGACCATGAAAGAGGTGTTGACGATATACATAAGTCCGGTAATCTGTCTTTAAAATTTTGTCTAAGGTACGTTTTTATTCCGATTTACTCAAATTTTTCAGGGGCTTTCTCCGCGGAGCCGTCCGGACAGCCGCAAAAGGAACGTTCCGTAACTTATTCCGGTAGTGGAGAATGTCCGTTCATATGCGTTAACGAAATAAAATGCGGTTTTTGTATCCCGAAAAGACTTTTTTATCCCTTCAAAAACAATGATTCCGTGTTTTTTACCAATAGATGCGCGCCGGAAAAGGAACGTTCCGCGCTTTCCGTCCGGCGAAATTCCGCCCGTCGTCGGCGAAAAAGCGCGGGGATTTTGTTTTATTCGAAAAACATCGCTATCTTTGCTCTCCGATTTATGCAAATCTAATTTGTGACTAAATGTACGCAATCGTAGAAATCGCAGGTCAACAGTTTAAAGTTGAGAAAGGTCGGAAGCTCTATGTTCACCGTCTTCAGGGGGATGAAGGTTCCTCGATGAGCTTCGACAAAGTCCTGCTAACAGACAATGACGGTCAGGTTAACGTCGGCACACCTGTAGTAGAAGGGGCCGCAGTGAATGCAACGATTCTCAAGCACCTCAAAGACGACAAAGTGATCGTCTTCAAGAAGCGGAGAAGGAAGGGCTATCGGGTAAAGAACGGTCACCGTCAATACCTGACCCAGATTCAGATCGATGAAATTAAAGCTTAACGTTTAAAACCTCAGAACAGAGATGGCACACAAGAAAGGAGTCGGTAGCTCCAAGAACGGTCGGGAATCCGAAAGCAAACGCTTGGGCGTAAAACTTTTCGGAGGACAGGTTGCCAAAGCGGGCAATATTCTGGTTCGCCAGCGCGGCACCGTACACAATCCGGGTGAAAACGTAGGCATTGGCAAAGACCATACGCTTTATGCCCTCGTTGACGGAGTGGTTTCTTTCCGCAAGAAAGAAAAAGACAGATCTTACGTTTCGGTGACTCCGCTGTCGTAGGGAATCCGAGATCGGATATAGGAATTGCCGGAAGCAGACGCTTCCGGGCAATTCTTTATACGGGAAATCTCATGAAAGAAGCGATAAATTCTTTGTTTGTAAGTTTAAGAGATGATACAGAAAAATGATTTAAAATGACGATTATGTGCTTTGTGCCGTATAATTATTCATTTTATGCTGTTTTGTATTTGGAATAACGCAAAAAAAAAGTATATATTGCTCAAATATATGGAGTGTTTTAATGTGAAATTTATTTTATTTAATCTATATAGTATGAAGAAAGTTGTATTATGTTGGTATATTTTGCATCCTTTCAGAAATCAAAAAAAATCACGTTGAGCGATCCCCTTTGCATGTAAATTTGGAAATATGCGAGTTACTCTCGGAGTGAAATTATATTAGGATTTGCTGATGTTTCTTTAGGTTATAGACTTGAATGGGGTATTGTCTAGTCATATTTGACAATACGCAAAAGAAATAAAGCTAAGATTTATATTTATAGTTTGATAAATAAATATTTTTTATTCATTAAAAAAACACGAAGGATGAAAAAACAATTTTTTTAATTGGAGGGGCTCTCGTTTTGGACTTCCTGGGAAGTCAATTCATATCAAACGGCGGTTTCTGATTTGATCTCTGAAAATGTGGAGGCTCTTGCTCGAGACGAAACTTCGTCTGGGTTTGCAGAGGTTTCTTGTTATTATGAAGAAGTTACTGATTCAAATGGAGATGTTGTCCAGTCGCATGCGATAATGTGTGAGGGAGAAGGAGATAAGGCTTGTACTTGTAGTCATGAAAAATAAATACAGTGTTTATAAATTAACGTTTTGTTAAAAGAATATTAAAGATGAAAAAATCGACTTCTTTATTGGTGCTTTTTCTTTGGTGGTTTTCTCTGGAATTAGTAAGAAATTACATCAAACAGCAGTATCTGATGTGATGACTGAAAATGTAGAAGCTTTAGCCCGGGATGAAACGTCATCTGGATATGCCGAGGTTAGTTGCGTATATGAAGACGTGGTTAATAGTGACAGTTTGGTTGTGAAAGTCCATTCGAGGAGTTGTTCTGGGGAGGGCGATCTGGCTTGCTCTTGTGATCATATGAAATGAAAATAATTTTAGATAAATATGATGGTAACTTTTTAAAGAGTCTCCGTTTATGAAACGAACCTCGTTTGTTGCAATCGCATTTTCTGTGGTGTTTCCGGTTGCGTAAGTTCGGCATCCCGACCGGATTACCCTACCGATTTGTTGACGATAACTGTTGACGTCGGTCGGAATGATGACGGTAAACTGATAGACAGTATATTGGAATTTTCGCATTATGTCATTTTGGATCCGCAACAAGAAGTCCTGATGGAAAATAAAGAAGTTGCAACTTCTGGACGGACATATAGGTGTTGCGAGTGAGAATAAAGCTTACGTTTTCGATTCGACTGGTAGGCTGGTGCATTGTTGGGATCGCCAGGGGCGCGGTCCTAACGAATATTTGCAAATGACGGACATGGAGATCGGTAGGGAAAAGGACTGGGTATGTCATGTGTATGACAAGAATGCGGGAAAGTTATTGACGTATGACATGGACGATAAAGCCGTTTCTGTTAAGGAAATGATCCCACATGCAAAGGCGTTCAAACTTTTGGGTGATGGCCTGATCGCTTTTAATATGGGAAATGGTTCGAGCACCTTTTTGCAAAAGGAAGACTATTTTAATTACAGATGTATCGACAGTTTCGGCAAAACACGGATATCTGCTGTTCCGTTCAATAAGCAAATGTTCGGATTGTCGACGCAATACGATAAAGGGAAGTCGTTTTTTTACCGGTATGGAGAGCAAATTTATATGAGCGCTCAGCATAACGATACTATTTACCAGGTATCCGATACCTCCGGTCGGATAACGCCCTGTCTTGTGTTTGATTTGGGTGTCGAACGACCGAGGGCGGATGATGAGAATTACCCGATTTCGAACTACCAGAAAGGTTTAGGCGGTGAAAAACCAGAAGTTCCGGTAGCGTTCTATAAATTTCCGAACGGTTATTTAGCCGAATATACTTATGATTTCCGACCGTATGTGCTGATTGCCAACGAACAAGGAGAGATATTGTACACCGGTAACAGCGCCAGGGATAAGAATGGCGTTTTATTGAGGCCCGTACCGTATCTGGATTTCGACAATTCCGGTTATCTGATTTCATATTTCAGTCCGGTGAATATCGAGGCTGATAAAAAGATAGGTCGGAGAAAAGGTTGCGATTCCGCTTTGCTGGATGAATTATCTTTAAAAGTCTCGGAGAACAGTAATCCTGTTTTATTATTTATAAGTGGATTTACTGAGACGTGCCGGATTGATGTGCTTCAATGGTTTATGTCCGTATTTTAATGCGGCGATTTAAAAATAAGATGCTGTTTGGCAGTCTCTTATGTGTTATTCATAAAAAGACGACGCCCGGAACTGCAGTTCCGGGCGTCGTCTTTTTATGAATCCGGATTCCTCCGGTTCCGGTTGTCCTTATTTCGCGTAGCTGACCGAGCGGGTTTCGCGGATCACGGTGATCTTCACCTGGCCCGGATAGGTCATTTCGTCCTGGATCTTCTTGGCGATGTCGTGCGACAGGCTGTCGGCCTCCTGGTCGGTGATCTTCTCGCTGCCGACGATCACGCGCAGTTCGCGGCCGGCCTGAATCGCGTAGGTCTTCATGACGCCGGGATAGGCGAGGGCCATGTCTTCCATCTCCTTCAGCCGCTTGATGTACGATTCGACCACTTCGCGGCGGGCTCCCGGACGGGCTCCGGAGATCGCGTCGCAGACCTGTACGATCGGCGAGATCAGGTTGTTCATTTCCATTTCGTCGTGGTGCGCCCCGATGGCGTTGATCACTTCCGGTTTTTCCTTGAATTTCTCAGCCAGTTTCATGCCGATGATTGCGTGCGGCAATTCCGGTTCGTCGTCGGGCACCTTGCCGATATCGTGCAGCAGGCCGGCGCGACGGGCCATCTTGGCGTTCAGTCCCAGTTCCGAGGCCATGATGCCGCACAGATTGGCCACTTCGCGCGAGTGTTGCAGCAGGTTTTGTCCGTAAGACGAACGGTATTTCATCTTACCGATCAGGCGGATCAGTTCGGGATGGAGCCCGTGGATGCCCAGGTCGATCGTGGTGCGCTTGCCGCTTCGACGATCTTCTTCGATCTGTTTCTGTACTTTGGCAACGACTTCTTCGATGCGTGCCGGATGGATGCGGCCGTCCGTTACCAGTTGGTGCAGCGCCAGACGCGCGATTTCACGGCGTACCGGATCGAAGCCCGACAGGATGATCGCTTCCGGCGTGTCGTCGACGATGATCTCGATGCCGGTAGCGGCTTCCAGGGCCCGGATGTTCCGTCCTTCGCGGCCGATGATCCGGCCTTTCACTTCGTCGCTCTCGATGTTGAACACCGTGACCGAGTTTTCGATGGCCGCTTCGGTAGCGACGCGCTGGATCGTCTGTACGACGATCTTTTTCGCTTCCTTGTTGGCGCTCATCTTGGCCTCTTCCATCACTTCGTTGACATAGGTCATCGCTTCGGTCTTGGCCTCCTCTTTCATGTTTTCGATCAGGATGTTCTTGGCTTCGTCGCTACTGAGGCCGCTGATCTGTTCGAGACGGGTGTTTTGTTCCTTGATTTTGCGGTCGAGGTCTTCCTTCTTGCGTTCGACGCTCTCGATCTGAGCCTGCAGACGCTCGCGTACGGAATCCTGTTCGCGGATTTTCTTGTTCAGCTCGTCCTGCTGCTGGGTCAGGTTGTTTTCCAGTTGTTTGGCGCGCTGTTCGCTCTGGGAGAGCTTTTGGTTGCGCTCGTTGACGGCCCGGTCGTGTTCGCTTTTGAGCTGGATGAATTTTTCCTTGGCCTGGAGAATCTTCTCCTTTTTGATCATCTCGCCGGCCGATTCGGCCTCTTTCAGAATCGCGGCCTTCTTGTTCCGGACGATTTTCGATGTGATCGAATAGCCTGCATAGCAGCCTGCGGCGGAACAGATGACGGCAATTATTGCTATAATTACAATGCTCATAGGTGTTAGTTAAATGTATTTATATGTTAAACAAATGTACGTTTGGGTATAAAAAAGACCCGCACAAATTCCTCTTTCCTTGTTTGACGAATCTCCAATCTCGTCATGTATGGGGCTGCCGTTTATCGCAAACGTCCAACGTCTTCGGATGAAGAACCTTCCGGGGGGAAGGTTAAGGCCTGTTTTTGAAATACTGAGCTTGACCCCAATGTAAATAGTGTTGAGTTTCGCAAAGCTTAAAAGGAATCCATGCGGGTTTTTATTCCTTACTTATATGTCCAAGAACCTGTTGTCTGTTATTAAGACGTCGTTTGCGTTTCAAATATTGTTCAGGTAGTCGTCGATCTCTCGTTCGATTTTCTGCAAACGCTGTGCCTCTTCCGTCATCTCCCGGTTCATCTCCAGCCCGACCTTGTCGACGGCCACCTGCAAAGCGGCCATGGCCAGATAATCTTCCGGTTCGGCGGCGAACCGGGTTTTGTAAACCGAGATCAGGGCATTGATATCCTGTGCCGCACGCCGGTACTTTTCCTCCTCGGCCTGCCGGATCGTCATCGGGTATTCTTTACCCGCCAACTTCACCGATATCCTGCGCGTTCCTGCCATCAATATAACGTCTTCGCTACTTGTTCATCAATGCAAGGCATTTGTCAATTTCCCGCAATAGTTTGTTGACTCTGAGCCTTGCTATCCGGCTGTCGCCGCGGTTTCCATCAGACCGGCCGCCGTTTCGAGCGTTTCGATTCGTCTGCCGAGCTGCCGTATTTCCGTTTCGGCCGCTCTTTTTTCGAGGATGACCGTGTCTCGTTCGGCGGTCAATTCACGCACTTCGCTGCGAAGTCGCCGGTTGTCCTCGATGATCCGAGAAACCTTTTCTTCAGTGAATCGATAATCGCCTTGTTGTCATCCATTTCTGCAGACAAATTGATTCGTCCACTCAAAGTAGTTA